CTCGTGAGTCCCAGCCATCTAGTTTAGTCCCCAATCCACGCCGTTACGTGGCGTGGGAGATACTTTCGGCGGTGGTGGTGGTCGCAATTTAAGTTGCCGAAAGTCCGCAATTTACATGTGACTAAGGCCCTGTTAGGGTATATTTTCAGCCTCGATTTGGACCGTTATTCGGAAGATAGCCGGCGACTAATTATGAATGTGCTGAAATCTGAGATTTGGACGAAAAGTGCAGATACACAGCCCAGCTGTAAACCACAACATAGCATGCTTAAATCCCCTTTAAAGGTGAAGGAAGAAGAAAAAGGAGAAGAGGTTGCGTTGCATTCTTGACACTTTTCACTTACCGTAATTTCGTACGTCTTCTTTCTCGACGCCATTATATTTAAATTTATAATAACAACAACTTGAACTACTTTTAATTTTTCTCCTGCTAAAGTCAAGGTAGGAATAAAGTATACAACAGCTTTAACTCGACGCCGTAACCGCAATAAATTTATCCCAGCAACGTTCAGCACTTGAGCTCACAACCAGAAGACAGCAGACCACATCGTCTGTATCTCGGCCAGCCGTAGTTTAATAGCGGGGTCACAAGCGGCCATGTGGATGTGACGGCAGCTACACTACACAGAACACAGGTCCTTGCCACGCAACTGTTCCACAAATTAAATATGACGGTCACTTCTGTCGAAGATCAAGCTCGCTGGTATTAGTTTGTGATGGATGATGACATCGATAGTAACTAGTTTGGGTGGAAGAGAGCAGAACTCCACATATCCGAGACAAGTGTGCGATGTGGCCAGCGGCAGTTAACTCTCCACAAACATTAGCAGACGAGGTGACGAGGAGTTCATGCGTTCACTTTAGGAATATTTATACTCAATTCTCGTACTGTGTATATTCTTATAGTTATGAGTATATACCAACGCCGTCTCTAATATAATAAATAGAGAAGTCCGTGGTTTTTACCATAATCACCTGTTTGTGTCCAACATATGCAGAACAGAGAAGATTACTCTGTCTCACACCCAATGGCGTAGGAAGGGGCGTTTTGGGTTGCGGACGACACCGGTTATCGTCATTGAAGGTTACGTTGATTTTTTTCAATGAGCTTGAGTTTTTTTTAAAGAAAAGACCCACTTGCATGTTTTAAAGGGTGACTAATTAAGGGTTGTACGAAAAGGTGCAGATATCACAGCCTAGTTCTAAACCACAACACAACGTGGCAGCTCTTAAGGGGGAGTGCAGAAAATGAAAAAGAACATCAAAGATGTTAGGGTTGAGTGCTAACTGTTCCAATTGCTCACTGGTTGTACACGGGTCGAACTATTCCACAAATGCGTTAAAAAGATGCCTGATCTGTAAAACGGATGTGCGTGCAACATTCAAGTTCTGGAACAAGACTAAAATCAGGAGGTGGACGAACAACCAGAACTTTCTGCTAGAGTTTATAGACGGCTAATGTGAAGAAGAATACGTCGAAAAACGTTAGTTGCTTGTCCTTTATATGATGTTGCACAACCAACCCTAGTAATTTTCTTTTCAGTGATAAAGGTTGTTTATGTAACACCATGCGTCACATCATAACTTGTTTCAGAAGTAGTCTTCATAAAGACAAACTTTAGCATTGCAAAGGCTAAACAGCATGAAAACCTATGGCGTGGAGTCTCCAAGCAAGCTGAAGTAAAGATTTTGAGATCATGCATCTTTCCTGTTGTAACTTATAGATATAAGTCATAGACGCTTACTAAGTTTCTGGGGAATAAAATCGAAGTGCTTGAACTAAAATGCAACAGAGAAATTCTTAAAATACCATGGACAACGAAAAAGAAAAAGGTCGACAACCTGCATGACTTAAACATCAAGGAGAACTGGTTCATAAACAACATTCTCTCCCAACAGCTGATGTACTCGTGTTTTGGACAAGCACCATGGACTACTGCTGCTGCTACTACTACTACAGTTTAAACTTGGTAAGGACAACTCACCGGGGTCCTAAGAAAGGGTTCTTCTTATCATAAATTCCTCTTTTCCAAAATATCTTCATCCTTCTGTCAGAAAACTTATATCAGGAGGCCGGTAGCCTTTATTAAAGCTATCGTGCAATCCATATCCTCTCGTATACCATACAGTTGTGTCTTCATTGTGGTTGGAACAGGCCAGATTGCGTCTCTGTTGTCAGCATATAGTTGACAGTGTTGGAGCACATGCTCAGCATTTTCGGGAGCCCCGCTGTAGGGACACGTCTCCGTATTTCCTACACCGACAAATTTGAACATATGTTGACGAAATCTGTTGTGCCCAGTCCCAAGTCTGAATATAATACACTGTCCCTCTCTAGAGAGGCGATGAAGCGAGTCTTGGGGAGAGAATCTGGTGTGGGTATCCAGCCACCTTTCTTGGATACTAGATTGTATTAATGTTTTCGCCTCTTGGTGGGTTAAGTCGCTATGTAGTTGTACCATGTCACTGCCGCTTCTGGCCAATCAATCCGCTATTTCATTGCCCTCCAAGCCACAGCGACTTGGAATCCACTGCAGTACAGATTGTTTTGCTGAAGAGCCTAAGTGAATCAGCTGTTGCGTCAAGTCTACAAACTGAGTCTCTTTTGGGTTAACAATTGCTTGTAGAACTGACATAGCATCAGTCAGAAAGACCACTTTGTTATATTTGCTGTGCTGTTGTCCATTTAAATAAGAACATGCCGCCAGAAGTGCTTCTGTCTCTGCTCTGTAACTGAATGAATATGAAACTGTTGGTATAGCCTGGTTGATTTTTAAACCATTTGGCCATTCTATGTATGTTCCTCCTCCCCCGTCTCTTACTGCCCTCTTGGCTGAACCATCTGTATACACTCGAATCCAACTCTGGTGTGAATAAAATCTGTTGATCTCTCTTTCTGTAGTTGATTTCATATCAGTGCTGTTCATTGATGATTTGGAGGAGATCCCTGCTACAGTGGTTCTGACTGTTGGCAGGCTATCAAGGGGGCAGTCGTTGTAAGGTTTCAGTGGAACATTTGGTATAGTGGGAGGAAGTATATAATTGAATAATTCTAGCAAGAAAAATTACCGGGGATAAAGAAATTGTTCTTCCCAACAGGAATTCTCCACATCCGAGTAACTACTATAAATGTCTATTTGAAATAGCACTTGATGATGATAAATCTGAGGCGCCATCTAGAACAAGAACGACAACTACACGCACACATAAAATTTCAGCAGAAATCTGATGTCGGCGAGAAGTTGAATCGTCGGAGTTTGTTCAATTCTTGTCTATGATCGCTTTCAGCTGCATTTTTTACGGTCGTTTAGCCATGCAAAGTTAACTAGGTGGGTTCACACACACAATTCTACGTGAGGTGAGTTGCCATGTTTTCACGATATTGTATTTGTAAATCTAGTAGTAAGGTGATGGTGAAGTTGAAAATCTTACTGAAGAAAATGATCGACAATGAAATATTTAAGTAGTTAAGTTTACACTACAGCACCTGCCGTTGTCCCGTTGTGAGCTGTTTAGATTGATTAATAATTATAATTACTAATGCTAGTTGACAGACCATCGATCTATCAGCCCTTATCCTGAGATAAACCTAGTGTATCATATAATCATATATCAGAACGACAGATGTTAAACTTTGAAGCTCTTTTCGGTATCTCAGTTCTGTGTTGCTACTGTACTGTATATTGTATATTTTAATTGATATTATTTGCTGTCTCATATAGTGCTCGTCTGATTTCACTGTTTTGGCTTTGTTATTTTTAAAAACCGTTATTGTATTGTCAGAATGTATGTTTGGTATGCTGATGGTCATAAGTGGCATAGACTCATAGGTCGGAAATCAAGAAGGCGTATATATGTTATATAAAAATAAATAAAATAATTATAGCTACCAATCAAATCTCTTTCTCAAATGTTTGTGTATTCTAGGCAAAGTATTTACAGTCTGCTGTGTTTGTAAATTGTTGCTGTCTTTGTTATAACTTATTTGCCCTATGCTTGGTTAATATAAAGTTCGGCTCTCCTTTAAATAACGGTCGCTAGCTGGAAGGCGACGGCCGCTTTGTCGGAGTTCACTCCCCTGGCTGCAGTGCAAATATGGAGTGGAAAACAGGGAACAAAACAAATTATATAGTTACCTGTCATTTTAGGGTTAGGGTTAGGGGTAGGGTTAGGGTTTGGGGTAGGGTTGGGGTTATGGTTAGGGGTAGGGTTAGGTTTTGGGGTAGGGTTAGGGGTAACGACGCAAGCTTGTCGGTCATTACGACATACAGATCCTCAGGTCTCACATCTACGGCCACTAAGTCTTGCATCGGAAGAACGCGGTCGCTAATTTGAGTCGCAGCGCATGGTCTACGAGAGTCTTGCGTCGCAAGAACGCGGTCGCTAATGTCAGTCGCAGCGTGTAGTCTAGCTTTAGCAGCTATGTCGACCTCACTTTGTTTTTTGATTCGTGACTTGTCCGCTCCGTATTTGCACTGCAGCCAGGGGAGTGAACTCCGACTAAGCGGCCGTCGCCTTCCAGCTAGCGACTATTATTTAAAGGAGAGCCTAAAGTTCTGTAACCTGTGGTGCAATTTCAATGTTTTACATGAATTCTGCCCATATTCCATAGTTGTGGATTTCAAATTGTACGACAGACATGATTAAAGGAGTGCCTAGTAGATCATGTTCTTAGTAACCTGTTTCCATAGCGAGGCGCACACACCATTTTGAGGTGACAGGTTCAATTTCTGGCACGGTAACTATAGCTTTCTGTTTTTTTTTATTTAGTCTAGTTTGTCCTTCTATCTTTCTACTTATTTCTATGAGTGCTAATCAGTAAATTGTCTGTCTGTTTATTATGTGTGTATATTTATATATATTATAAATAGTTAGTCAAACCTGATGCATTATTCCGGATACAAAGAGCTCATGTGTGTATTTTTGTTTTTTCCTTCAGGTTCATACTGAGCTGATAAAGCAGCAAACCTGTACGGGACATACAACTTGTTTTGTTCAGCATGTGGGCACCAGAACATGAAAGCATGGAGTTGCCGGTTATTGAACCAATTGATGATCCAGAGAAGCTTCTTGCGGAGATCACCGAATGTCTGGAGCAAAAGGACAGTCGAAGCCTCAAGACCTACATCCTTGAGCACAAGACAAAAGCTGAGAGCATTTTCTGGGAGCTGATTCTCAGAATTGGCAAGTGTATTAATGCAGAAACCTACGAGCGTCATTCAGAGTTTTTTGATGTTTGCTGTCGATCCCTCATGTACCTAGTCAAGGTTGGCAACCCCAAGGAGACTCTCCTGGCTCTTCTGGAGCAGGTGGACACATTTATCGATGACGTGAAATTCAAGAACTTTCTCCCACCTATTCAGACAGCTCTCTTGAAAATTCCGACAAAGCTGTTCCATTCTCTTGATATCACTTTAGAAACGGTGTCTTCTCATTTGAGGTCGCTGGAACTGCCCGAAAACACTCAGTTGGAAGGAGATAAAGTGAAAGTCTTTCATGCGGACAAAATCGTGATCAGACTGGCAGATATTTTATATGTCTACTTGAAATTCCTGGAACCTTTTGTGAACGCAGTTGTTGTTCATTTAGATATGACAGCCGCTGCGAGGAAAGAAGCACTTGTTCTGAAAAAACATCTGATTCGCTTGTTTGAGCATCCCTTGTGTCATCTAGTTCTGACCTATGACCCTTCTTCGGATAAAGCTAAATCTGATAGTCGGATTTGTGCAGAGCTAGCTGTATCTTTGCTTACAAAAGTGGAAACAGATTTTCATAAGCTGATGAAACATGCCAGAATAAAAAACAGAGCAGAAAGTACAATTAAAAAGGCAAACAATGACAAGCAAACTAAGGGCAAGAAAGGTTTGGCTCAGGAAGAATATGAAAACCAAGAAAATGAAACCAAACTGGCCAGCTCAAGTTTGCCAAAAGATGCAGTGACCGACATAGTAGATGCCTGGGACTTCCAGATGGAGATAGCTCCCTTGGCTAAGGCATGTTTAGCCTATCTGATCCATGTGGAACAGCTTGGCCTGTCAAAGTACCCTGCAGTCTACACTCGTGAATATCTCCTCGACTTCTACTTGGAGACCATCTCTGTTCTACTGAAAAACACAGTTTACCCAGTCAACCACAAGGGTCTCCTCTTGCTGAAAGCTCTCACAGAGTTGGTGCCCCAGCATTCTATTTCTGTTGATTACCTCGACAACCCAGGTTACCTGACGGTCATCAATGATCTCATACATATCATGATCAAATGCCCGGTTAAAGATCACCGGGTCATGGCCACAACACTGTTCCCAGTATTCATAAATAGATTCGTAGCTGCCGGGCGGTTCCAGATCTACCAAAGCATTCTCAGTTCTTGTGACCATTCAGGATTGAAAGGATACCTGATCACACTTTTGAAGAATGACATTAGTGATAATCTTAGACAAGCTTTGTCACAGATTGCTTCAGAGAAAGGGGATGAAAGGGGAAGTAAAGATGAAACCGGCACAGTCTCTGAACATTTTATTGGGAAAAGACTTGAGAAGCTGCTCAAACTTGCACTAGCACTTCCGGAGCAAGAAACTACAGACATCCTTGAGAATTCAGATCAGATCATTTCCTCACTGAATCTTCTCCGTTTTTTGATTCTTGCTGATCCACCAGAATCAAATATCACAGGCTTCTGGAATCTTCTACCAAACATAGAGAAAGATTTCTTGTCCCCTCTTCGGCGCGGACTTGATCTTAGCAGAGCACACTACGTCCTGGAACTGGATACAATGAAAGCAGGAAAGAAGTCTGATGGGAAGGGAGCCGAGGTAACTTGCAGCGTGGAGGGGATGACACTGCCAATGGTTGAGGAGAAGGAGAAAGCCGAGTTACTCGGGAAAGCTGTGAATACACACGATGTCATATTGAGTCTGCTTGCCAGAGTGTCTGAACTTGTTGATCAGCAGAAGCGACTGACTAAATAATGTTGTTAAAAACTGTCATCATTGGAAATTCCTGTGTGGGTTCCGTGACCCCATTATGGGGGGAAACAAAGAATAGACCCACTGCTTCTCTAACAAGCGTGTTGTAAGAGTAGATTATTTAGGGTTTTCCTTTGAAGTTGAAGTGCATCTGCCTGAAAGTCGAGGAGCCAACAGTTTGCATAGAAATAAACTGGATCTGTAAAACAAAAATGCACGCAAAACTTAGATTCTTGAACTAGACTAGTCTAAACTTGGATGAACATCCAGAACTTTCGCTGGAATTTACAGCCGGTAATTGCACACAAGAAGCAGAAGGGTATCACTTGAAAGATTTATGGAAAGATAGAGAGAGGAGGACAGCACGGGAAGATTCTTGAGAGCGTTTTGTCATGGCATGGAGAGGTGTCGGTACATGAGCTGAGACATGCTGTTGGAGATTGCAGGGTCTTGGGAGGCATAATTGCCTGTGCCAGTCAGTAGGGCACATTATTAAGATTAATAGTTTCACTGGTACTGATGGACACCTGTAGTGTGAGTGGCCACTGCGGTGACTAGACTCTTGTCTAGGGTTCACATCTGCATCAAGGTTGAGTTTTTGTCTCCAAAATTGATCTTATCTGACTGATTGACCCAGTTTAAAACGGACCCCTGGTAATGTCCAGGGAAGTAAAGGTGGCTGGCATGATGTTGACTAAAGCACCCATCCAGTGCTGGTTTATCTATACACATGTTGGTCTAGCACTGTATTTATTTTTGTGTGCATCTGAGGCATGAAAAGAGCCCTTTTCTTTCCTTTTGTGTGCATCTGAGGCATGAAAAGAGCCCTTTTCTTTCCTTTTGTGTGCATCTGAGGCATGACAAGAGACCTTTTCTTTCCTTTTGTGTGCATCTGAAGCATGAAAAGAGCACTTTTCTTTCCTTTTGTGTGCATCTGAGGCATGACAAGAGACCTTTTCTTTCCTTTTGTGTGCATCTGAGGCATGAAAAGAGCCCTTTTCTTTCCTTTTGTGTGCATCTGAGGCATGAAAAGAGCCCTTTTCTTTCCATTTGTGTGCATCTGAGGCATGAAAAGAGTCCTTTTCTTTCCTTTTGTGTGCATCTGAGGCATGAAAAGAGCCCTTTTCTTTCCTTTCTTTTTACAAATGTGTAAATAATTAAGTACATATTTCTACATCCCCTAATAATTTGATCATGCTGCTGTCAAAATGTTTGTAGATACTTGTTTTAATTGCATAAATTTTTTTTTGGTGCAAAACTTTCTAAGGATACAAACATACATGTGTATTGTGTACATTGTATTATTTGTTATACTGTATTGCATTGATATGTCCTTATTTTTTCAGATAAACAAAAACCTTCTTCTTCGTCACCTTCGTCTTCCTCAGCATTCTGAGCCCTTTAGCTACAGTGCTACAGATATCTCCTGCCACCTTTTATGTAAAAGACTGGCCCTCATTTGTCCTGTTGAAGACTCCAAGCGTTTGTAGGTGTGCCTGTATTATTATTACCTCTCCACCAGCTTCTTAGTCTTCCTTGTGCTCTACTCCTATTCAACTTTTTTGTGAATGTAGTTTTTGTCTTTGTTGTCAGATGTTCTCACTATATGCCCTAACTATTGCAGTCTTAGTCCTCTTGTGGTCACAGTTAGTGATAATTTTATAATGCTTATACATGACTGTTGATCTGTGGCTGGTGTCAGTCACAATTAGATCAAGTGTTCAAATGCTTTATGGAACCTATCTTATTATATGCTTGTGATATATGGATAATATGCAGACAAGCCAAACCATTTTTTTTTACTAGCAGTGGAGATGTGGTTTTTGAGAAGAATGCAAAAAGAAATAGCATGGAATGATAGAAAACTGAATGAGGCAGTCATTGAGAGGATGAAAGTTATAAACTGTTTGGAGAAATTAGACATAGAGAGTGGGTATTTGTTCATGTATGTTAGTTTGTTGGGTTATCATCATTGTGATCCGGACATGTCCATATGTACTCAGATCCTCCCCTCCGTCCGGTGTCTAATAGCACCAGTTCTATGTTGATTAACAAGTCCTCTGATGTGCGTCTCGTTTTTTGCTTTGCCAATCTTAACTCCCAAGTCTATCATTCTGGCGAATGATGTTGGTGTAATTGGCGTCTGACGGCACCTGCAGGAAGTGACTGATATGTTATGAGAATGAATAGACTGGATAAATTAGACAAAAAAGTTTTTTTTAGACATGTTATGAGTGGAAAAAGACTGGAGACCCTGGTACAACTGGCAAGATTTGTAGCAAAAGAGCAAGGGGAAGACAGAGAGATAAATACCTGGATTCTTGGCTTGGCCATGTGGATGTGGTGAGACAAGAGCACTGACTGAACTTATCTATGATTCTGGTGCGATGAGGATGATGTTGATCTTACACTTCGGTAGATCATGTTATACATGTCAGTGATGTAAATGTATTATTTGTTATGAAGCATTGACATTGTCCTGATGATGCGGGAGCCACAGAAGTGGCTAGCCACTCGCCTGCCAGCCGAAGGTCTCGAGTTCGACTAGGCATTAATGAGATTATTTTCAGAATTTGACCTCCTTGTCAGCTCAGCTCGACGTGGGTAACGGGCAGTGTCCTAAGGAGATAAAGGGGGCTGACATGATGTTGACCACATCACTGAGTACCATTTGTCTGTAAAAACGTCAGTATTGAAATGTATGTCCGATGTGCCACTGGCATAGACAAAATGTATTCTTGTCTTCGTGTACCTTATAATGCATTTACAGTATGTAATTTTTTTTCAATGAAAACATGTAAAACTTGTTTATTGATGGCTGTTACTTTTACACTTCAGTAGTTGCAGATTATGTTGTATGTTTGTTGTATCAACACTTGATATTAGGGACTTTCCCACCGTGAATTTAACTGTAGGGGCTTTTGAGCTGAAATGCTTGAGAAAGATTCTCAGAATTCCACGGACAAAGAAGAGAAGAAATACTGACATTTTAACAGATCTGAACATCAAGGAAGGTTGGCTAATAAATAGCATCTTGTCTTGAAAGCTAAAATATTTTGGTCACACCAAGCGCCACGGCGGATTGGAAAAAATAATAGCAGAGGGCATGGTACCAGGAAGGAGGTGCAGGGGCTGACCAGCACGAAGATGGACACAGAATATAAGTGACTCCTTGAATATGAAAGCACACGAGCCAGGAGAGCTGGCGAGAGGCCGAGTTTTTTTCAGGCAGACCGCGATGAGAGCGACTTCCTGCAAAAGACCTGCTACATGATGATGATGATGAAGAACACATACAGTAGTTTTATGTTGTCTTGATCCTTTTGTACTTTGCGGTGTCAAGGTGAAGTATAATTTACAGGAAAGTGCCCGTTTGTGTGCTTCATAAATGGGGATTCCCAGAAACTCTTAATCCCTCTATCCATTGTTTGCGTGGTCAGCCTCTTCTTCCCTTCCCACTTGGGCTGTACATTATTGCTTGCTGTCTGTGGTATATTGGTTGTTGGTAGACGCGTTGTATATGACCAAACCATTTCACTTGTTGTTTTCTAATAAAATCCAGAGCTGCTACTACCACCATTTTCCTTCAAATTTCATTGTTTCTGACCTTATCTCTTCTTGCTATATTAAGAACCCTTCACAGAAATCTAATTTCAGTTGTAATTTTTCTGTTCTCCTTTTTGTCATTGTCATAGTCTGACATTGATAGCAGAAGCAAGAAGATGGTGTTATACAGTGCTCGTCTGGTTTCTACTGAGACGTTGTTTCTCAGTAACGGTGACATTTGCCCAATAAGTTGGTTTGCTGCATTACATCGATCATGTCTTCTGATTTACCAGCTGATAATATTATGCTTCCTAGGTATTTGAAGTTCTTGGTTTTGGGGGGTACAGTATATCTTAGTTTATTGGCAGGTATAATTTGCTGTATCTTATCAGGTGCGCTACAACTAAATTATTGCACCTGGTTCATCATCATCATGTAGCAGGTCCTATGCAGAATGTGGCTCTCATCACGGTCTCGCCAGCTCTCTTGCACTTTCATTTTCAAGGTGTCTATCCTGTGCCTTTCTTCATGGTAGTCAGCCCCTGCCCCTCCTTCCTGGTACCATGCTTTCTGCTACTAGCAAAATCTTCTTCTGCTCGAGCATATGAAGCCTTATGGTTCATAGAAGGCATGGGCTTGTGTTTGTATATTGTCTCTCCACCTTATTTTTGGTCTGGCTGGTCTACTCCTTTTTAACTCTTTCGTATATGCAGTTTTGGCCTCCCTTTTATCTGCAATTCTCTCCCTTTTATATGCCACTCTCTATATGCCCCAACCACTGCAGACGATCGGTACTCGTGATGTCAGTTAGTGGTGATTTAAATAGGCTAGGAATTTCATTGTTGCTTCTCACTGCTGTTTGTATCTCTCATGGGTCTAAAGAATCTTAGCAAGACTATTCTCAGACGTTTGTAGTAAGGCTATGCCTCTTTTCGATGTACTTCAGGTTTCACAGCCAAATAGTCGGCCTTATCAGTGTTTTATATATTGTGATATTGGTGTTATGAGTCGGAGCCTAGCAGGTGGCTGTGGGTCACCTGCCTGATGTATATTGGTCTTCTTTCTTCCCCTTGTGGGTTCCCTATGATGGGGAAAACAAGAATAGGCCCAAAAGCATGTTGTAAGAGTTAACTTGTCAGGAGCTTCCTTCAAAGTTGAAGAACTTATCGGGAGCTTCCTTCAAAGTTGAAGTACATCTGCCTAAGAGACAAGGAACCATCAGGCTGCATGCAAACAAATCAGGCCTGTGAAACGGAAGTGCATGCAACACTCAGGTTCTGGAACAGGACTAGAGTTCATAAGTGGACGAACAACCAGAATTTTCAGCAGGAGGTTTACAGCTGGTGAACACGAAGAATAAAAAAGAAGTGTTTTTTTCTTCGCAGCGGCTTTGTCCCACAACGATCCCTATTTCCCAACATCTCAACAAACTTAGTTGAGTGGCCCGGCCCTTTTGT